CTTGGTTAGGCTCCAGATCTGCTATCCACACGCAGCAGGCTCCCAAGTGCCCACCACTTGTGCCCTTCTGATAGTTACATTCTCTCTGTGAAGTCTAGGGTCCCTCAGAGGACACAGTAGCCCAGGAACATGTACCTAGAGACCCCTTTCACCTCCCAGGATTTTATCTGCTCCACCTCCTCTCCATGGCAAACCTCTCCTTCAAATTTCCAAAGATATTAAATCCTTTTGGATATTAGTCAGAAAGATCTAAGCCACAAGGGAATTAGCTAAGCTTTGAGCTGTCCCACCCCTGCCCTGGGTCCCCAAGTTGCCCTGGCAACAGGTGACCCTGTGCTGTATTTTCCCACTGAGCAAGGCAGAGATTCATCCCCCCTTCCCATGGGCCTCTGCCACTGCAGGCAGCTTAAGGCCTGGAATGTGGCTTGGGTAAATGCCATTACCCTGTGATCTCCCTAGAGTAAGCTGTGGCAGGAAGGGAGCCAAGTGTGTATGCCCTAGACTGGCACCATCTTGTGTCCTGAGCAGTGTGAGTCCATGGGGCCCAGGCTTCCCTTGGCCGCAGTCCTGGCTAGAAGGGCCAGAGAACTGAGACTTGACTAAGAGGGGACCTAGGAAAGAACTTCCCAGCATTTCAGGCTCCGTGATAGGAATTTGGCTGGTCTTTATTTGCAGAGAATGTAGCTTTCCAGGGTGACCCTTGTCCCCATAGGTCATAGGTCAGCCTCCCCACACTCCACCACCACTGTCCTAATCAGGAAGCATTGAAAACCACTTGGCATCCATTCATTCATTTATTCAGTATCCCAGGCCAGGGCTCCAGGGACTGCTGGCCGCTGGTGGCAGATCTCACACACTTCAACACTTGTCCACACAGGGGCTGCAGACCAGCTCCTCCGAGAAGTATCTGAGGACCCTCCTCTGCCCAAAGAAGCTGGACAGATGGTAAGGTCTGGGCATACCTCAGTAGGCAGGGGAATGGGGCTCAGGAACCATGTGTGGGAGGGTGGGACTGGATGAGGGCTGTGGAAGAGGTTCATGTTAGTGGCACGGTGTTGGGAAAGATAAGGAGTGACCCAGTGTGGAGGAGGCCTTGAGCAGAGGCCTCTCTCCTGAGGCTCAGCCTACCTGGATCTGTCTGCAGCTCCCGCCCTGCCTCCAAGCATCGCCTCCTGTCTCGGGCCTGGGCCTGCTCCCAGCACTCCCTCTACACTTCACAGCCAGGTATGTGGCACAGTGGAGGGCCAGGATTAGGTGGAGCCTTTGCCCAGAGAAGCTGGTGGGAAGGGTCAGCTCATTCCAGAGCCCTCATCCTATGTAAGGGCAGCAGCCAGTTCTGGTCAGGGGACACACTGGCCTGGCCTGGAAGAGATGGGCCAGAGGCTGGGTCACATTGCTCTCTATGTGCCTTCTTCTGGTGACTGCAGGAGTCCGCCTGCCCTTGAAGCTGGTGATCTCGGCCACTCTGACAGGAGCAGCCACTTACCAGGTGTGTCCTGCAGTTTCTAGTGCCCATTGTCCCTTAACCCCTGTCCTCAGGCTCCAAAACCTGGTACAGCTCAGGCCTAAATCAGATCCTCAGGTGCCCCCCCCTTACCCAATCAGCTGTTCTGCCTCTTGGAAACACTAGCTTACCCTGTGGGAGGGATGCCAGCCCTCAGCAGGTTCACATAATGACTCACAAGTCACAAAGTCACATCAACACGGACTTAAAGTTCTACCTCCGTTGTTCGCCTCCTGGGTGACCTTGGCCAAGGTTTTCCACCTTCATGAACCTACTAGCTCATCTGTAAAATAGAAGAAATTAAATCAGTTTTCTACATTGGGAGGACTTTGTGAGTTGCTATGTTTGATAAATCACCAGCACCTTCATCATAACTCAAGACCAAGTAAGACACCCAGGGGCTCGGGCCATGGCTTAGTTGATAGAGGGATTGCCTAGGATACATGGAGCCCTAGGTTAATGCTAGCACCACATAAGCACAAGCCTGTAATCCCAGCACTTAAGAAGTAGAGACACAAAGCTCAGAAGTGCAAGATCATCCCCAGCGAGCAACAAAGTGAGTTTGAGGCCGGCTTGGGCTAGAGGAGACCCTGTCTCAGAAAACAAACAAGCAACAGCAACAGCAACAACAAACAGACAAACTCCTGGCATGATGGAGGTCTGGTTTCTCTTCATTTTACAAATAGGGGAAATTAGTTGTAGAGTAGCTGACTCAGCCAAGATATTCTTACAGCTAATATGCCAGGGCAGCCAAAAATTGAACCCAGGAATGTCTAGCTTTCATACTCAATTGTTTTCTTTACCATGGAAAAGTTGGAATCTCTCTCTCACACCCACCCATGTGTGTGTGTGTGTGTCCCCCAGGATCATTCCTTAGTTGCCGATCCACCTTGTATTTTCAGACAGGATCTCTCCCTGGCCTGGAGCTTGCCACATAGGCCAGGCTGGCTGGTTAAGCAAGTACCAGGCATCTATCTGCCTGTCTCTGCCTCCCCAGTGCTGGGATTATAAGTGGGAGCCACCGTATCCAGTTTTTTACCTGGGTTCTGGGAAACAGAATTCAGATTCACACGGCACACCAAGCACTTTACTGACTAAATTATCACCCGGGCCCAAAATTGGAAATGTTTATATTCTGAAGCTTAGATAGACAAGTAGAGGTAAAGAAATAGCTACAACAGCCCCATCTTTGGCCTGTTGGGCTAAAACATCCACACATTCACGTCACATTCTGCTTGAAGGCAGAACGACCCGCTCTCAGAGCAGTGTAGAGGCATGTGGCTGCAGCTGGCCACCTTTTCAGGGTGGCAGAGCCTGGTGTAAATACAGCTGGTCCCTGCCACCCTCACGGTGGGGCTTTTCCAGGTGGCCCTGCTGCTGCTGGTGAGCGTGGTGCCTACTGTGCAGAAGGTGAGGGCGGGGATCACCACGGATGTCTCCTACCTGCTGGCTGGCTTTGGGATCGTGCTCTCTGAGGACAGGCAGGAGGTGGTAGAGCTGGTGAAGCATCACTTATGGGCTGTGGAAGGTGAGATTGCTCAGTGTCCCTAAAGGTCATCGCGGGCGTGGGAGACAGGCCACTGGACCTGGTTATAGCCTGCCGCAAACACACAGGATGCCTTGGTCTGGGTCTCCACTCATCTCAAAGTAGGGGGCAGTTGGAGCTTCCATATCTCTTCAGCCTATGACTCTTATCAACCCTTGCGACATCTTCCTTTCCCCCAGCCCCAGTGTCTTTGACCAACTCTCTAGCTGTCGTGATGCAGAAGCCCATGACTTCAGGGTGGGGAAGGAAGAAATGACTAGTAGGTGGGATGGACCCTGGGATTTATGGGCAATCCTCTTGGCCCAGGCTGCAGTCTGGCAGGGCCCCTGAGTTCTCTTTCCAATACTCGTTTATCTGCACTGGTGCCCTTTCCCCGCCTCCCATGAAACAAGCCTCAGGCCTGGAAACACCAGCCGCCCCCTTCTCTGGTCTGACATATAGCTACCTCCTACCCATCTTCTAGCCTTGTGGGGGACACATATGGAGGGGCTGGCCTCAGGTTGTGCAACAGGATACAGTAGATAGAATTAGATCCTTGAAGCCCTAGTTAAGGCTCCCTTCCACCTTATCACAAAGCCTGATAGTCATGACTCATGGCACCTGCACCATTGGCCCACTGGAGGTTCCTTTGTTGAAATGAGCATTCTGGCTTTGGGGGAAGAGCATGCAATGGTTGATGGCGGTGTGGCCGCTTTGCATGTTTTCCTGACACCAGCCTTGTCCTGCCGGCCAGGGTGGGCTGGCAGTGTAGGGCAGAGTGGAGCGTACAGAGACATGCGCTGTGAAGCTTTCCCAGAGCAATTCCTCTGAGAGACCTTGTGGGCTTGCTGTGAGGGTCTGGGGTGAGGCAGGCTGGCATGTGAGCTCGGAGCATGTCAGCTGCACTCACAATGTTCTTTTACATCTATTCAGAGCTCTCTACCCACCATGACAGGGACTGTGGATCTGACTGTTCCACTTGCGTGTGGTCAGGGTTGTGAGGCAGAGAGTGAGGAGGAGGGCCTCACCCAGAGGAGATAAGTAATAGCTACCGCCTCCTTCATTATGGTGGACGGTGGGGCCCAACTCTCTGAGGCCTGAACAAAGCCACTAATACAAGTAGGGATGGGTTTATGGCCATCTGGGAGGTGGGCCACACCTCATGGCCATCAGAGTTTGTGATTGTTACAAGGCTCTCTTGAGGGCAGGAAGAGAGGAGCTGCGGGCAGATGCCAGGTAGGAATCTCTCATTAGAGCACGTCATAGCAACAAAACCTAGGTGAAGGCCATGCCTGTGGCTCAAAGCGGCCCTTTCCATCTATTGGCTATCATACGTTACTGGGGAGGTCAAAGCGGCCCTTTCCCTCTTTTGGCTATCATACGTTACTGGGGAGGTCAAAGCGGCCCTTTCCGTCTATTGGCTATCATACGTTACTGGGGAGGTCAAAGCGGCCCTTTCCCTCTTTTGGCTATCATACGTTACTGGGGAGGTCAAAGCGGCCCTTTCCCTCCTTTGGCTATCATACATTACTGGGGAGGTCAAAGCGGCCCTTTCCCTCCTTTGGCTATCATACGTTACTGGGGAGGTCAAAGCGGCCCTTTCCCTCCTTTGGCTATCATACGTTACTGGGGAGGATGGGGCTGTAGAGGATGTCAGGTCAATGTTGGACCCAAGAACTGGAGCGGGGGCTCAGTGGTTTTCCCTTACAGTGGAGTCCAGGGGTCTGAGGTTCTAGAAGATCCTCTAGCCCTTGACCTCCCCGGCTCTCTCTCTCCCATCCAGCATGTTACATCTCAGCTCTGGTCTTGTCCTGCTCATTAACCTTCCTGCTCCTGATCCGCTCTCTGGGGACACACAGGTCAGTGACAGGCCATGACACTCCGATACAGATATAGGGCAAGGATCCAAGACCTGAACACTTGAGGGACCCCAATGCAGGAGGGAGAAGCCTCTGAGGCCAGGCTGCCACAGAGAGCACATTCCCCACCTTCAGATGGGAGGAGAAGGTGGAGCTTGTCTGCCCCAGGGGTGTTTCTGGTTGTTCTCAAGGTCTTTGAGGGGTGGGAGAGACCACAATACATTGCTGGGAAGTTTGCCTGTGAGAAGGGACCTTCAGAGGGCTGGTAATAAAGAATCCAGTTCCGAAGGATGAAGAGGCTGGGGCTGAGGGACGAAGGATACCAAGGGCAGGAGTGACTGTATGAGTAAGAGCAGAAAAGTGGATAAACAGTTCGTAGAAGATGGAAATACCCTGGAAGGTGGAAGGCATTTGAGAGGCTGTTCTGAGAAATGAGTGGTGCTGAGAAATGCTTTACCTACTTTGGGCACTTGCTAGGCCTCAGGGTTCCCACTCAGGGACTCTAGACTATAGAGATGGCCCTGTTTGACCTGGCATCAAGACCCTCTGCCTTGCCTTCCTTCCTGGTGGTCCAGCTGGATACCAATTCCATTCCCTGTGGTGCTTCAGGATGTGCCCTCTGTCTGGGATCTTTCAAAACTCTACCTACCTCGCCTCCTCAGGAGGAGCACCCCGGATTGAGTTAACCTCCAGGCTCCTAAAGCCCTGAGGTTCCCTGCTAATGGCCAGATGCTTGCCCTGGGCTACTATTTAAGGGTGTTGTGTTGTTCCCTAAGGTCACTGTTTGTTCTCAACCCAGGGCCAATCTTCAAGCACTGCACCGAGGGGCTACCCTGGACCTGGGTCCTCCTCTCCAGAGTACTCACCCCTCCCGCCAAGCCATAGTCTGCTGGATGAGCTTCAGTGCCTATCAGACGGCCTTCACCTGCCTTGGTGAGCTCCCTTGCTGTGTCCCTAGAGCTGGGCCCTGGTGGGAGGGATGGGTACTTGGCAAAGGTTTTTCTGGGCTAAGAAGGGCAAGAGTCATGGAAGGAATCTGCGGCCTCCCTTACTCTCAGGAAGCTTGCTCGGGATGTTGGCATAGGAGCCCCTAGAAAGGGAAGCCCTTCATATGAAGGTGTTTCTGGGTAATTGTGAGCAGGAGAACCTGGGTCTGGCTGTAGCACCTTCAAGGTGGCACACGGATGCTTTTGTAAGAGAAGGCTGGCCATAGTGAGCTGCCTCGAGGTAGAGCTTCTCATTCCTGGAGGAGGCAAGCAAGTTTCCACGGACATGTGAGGTCTGCATAGGGGTGCTGCCCTGAAACAGTCTGGTCAGATGACCCTCAAGGACTCTTCTAGACTATGTCTCAAGTTCTCCTCCTAGATACCATAGTGCACAACACACCTGAACTGTGAGGGACTCGGCCTCTCCTGCAAGTCCAAAGGCCAGACCTGGCCTTCAGATCGCCTGTTAGTACCCAGGGGAGAAGGAAAGGTGATGGGGGATGGAGAAAATGGTAGAACTAAAAGTGCTTCCCATCTTGGTCAACCTTAGACCTCCCAAGACCTGTATATATCATCCCAGGTGACTGTGTGGCCCAATGGTTTTCTTAGCTACACTCAGGACCACAGGTGCTAAAGCAGCCCTGATTCACAGTCACACACATGCTCATTTAAATGGTAATTATGCCCAAGAACTCAGATCAATTTTAGGGCAATAACATGGAGTCTGAGGCTCCTGGAGTATTACAACAGCTCTCCAAGGGACTACGATCCTTATTTTATAGAAGAATAAACCAATGCTCGGGCAGTGACATGGAGTGGAAATAGCATAGAAGCCCTTGATTTCCTAGAGCACAGGATTAAGCTGGCTTCCACAGAACCTCTTGTCTGTCCCCTTGTCCCTTCTGCCCCCTGCAGGGCTCCTGGTGCAGCAGGTCATCTTCTTCTTGGGGACTACAGCCCTGGCCTTCCTGGTGTTTGTGCCTCTAATCCATGGCAGGAACCTCCTGCTCCTCCGATCCCTAGAATCCACATGGTGAGTGAGGCAAAGAGTGGGCTCTAGGACTTTCCAAAGGGCCCAGTAACAGCACCCCTTTTCTCATCCTACCTACACACAGGCCCTTCTGGCTGACTCTGGCCTTGGCTGTACTCACACAGAACACAGCAGCCAACTGGGTCTTCTTAGACACTCACCATGGATATCCAGAGCTGACCAACCGGTAAGATGGCCCCCAGACTCCTCTCTGTAGATTTTGTACTCTAAAAATATCTCTGTCTTACCTGTCACAGATTCAGTCTTCTTCCAAGAGATTTTGGGGTGCTGAGAACCCACAGCTTTGCAAACCCAGGGCCTAGTGCATGGCAGACACACACTAATACTGAGCTGTTAGCCCAGCTGTCAAGAGTCTTTTTTGCTTTGAGGATCACTGACGTCCTATTCCCTCAAACCTCTCACCTTGGAGCAAGAGTGTGGGAAAATGTTGGCTCCCAAGAGGAGTTTGGACTTTGTGGACAGGGGACCCAAGGAGGAAGGTGGGAACGTCGGGGTCATACAGATACAGGTTGAGAGTTGAGGGGATAGCTAGGCTGGTAAAATGCTTGCCATGCAACCATGAGGACCCAAGTTCAGCTGATCTTCAGCCCCCACATAAAAAGTTGGACACAGTGGCACATGCCTGGAGGATCCCTGGGGCTTGCTGGCCAACTTAGTCTTGCTCAATCCGTGAGCTCCAGGTTGAATGAGAGATCCTGCCTCAAAAAACAAAACAAAAAAAAAAGTGATAGAGGAAGACACCTGATATTAAACTCTGTTCTCCCTGGGCTGTACAAAAAAGCACACCCAATAAATGTCAGTGACTGGTGAGAACAGTGCCGAGGGCATGAGGTGTGATGCTGGCCTGGCACAGGGCTCCGGGGGAGGCCTGCCTCAACCTGTCTCCTCCCTACCCCCAGGCGCATGCTCTGTGTGGCCACCTTTCTTCTCTTCCCCATCAACATGCTGGTGGGAGCTATAGTGGCTCTCTGGCGGGTGCTTCTGTCTTCCCTCTACAACGCCGTTCACCTTGGCCAGATGGACCTCAGCCTGCTGCCACAGAGAGCTGCCTCCCTGGATCCAGGTAAGGTCACTAAGCAGGGACTGGGGGCTGAGCTGTTCAAGCAACTGCCCCACCCTGACCTCTGGGCTGACCTGCACACGTAGGCCTCTGTGCCCACGTGTGGCTGGTGTGTGAGCACTGTCAAGGCTCTGTGGCGTGAGGCATGCGTGTGCAATTCGTGTGCACTGCCAGGGCTCCACGGGTGTGTGCAGTGTGTCTGCTGAGAAAGGCCAGACAAGCATGTGTGGCAGGGTGGCTGTGGTGGGTTCTAACAAGGGTGCCAAGTGCCTGTGTGCAGAGTGTGCGCCCCATGCTTGGTCTCACGGCAGTGTGTACACATACTCTGTGGAAGCCTTTTGCCGCTTCTGAGTACCTTGCTCTTCCATGGGTCCCTCATGCCTCAGCATTCTGTCCCCAACCCATCCTAGGCTATCACACATACCGAAACTTCCTGAGGATCGAGGCTAGCCAGTCGCATCCAGGAGTCCTGGCCTTCTGCACCCTGCTTCTTCATGCGCCAAGTCCACAGCCCCGGCCCCTGATGGCCCCCCAGGACAGCCTCAGACCAACAGAAGAAGAAGGTACTTTGCCACCTGGGCTCAGGATAGAGGCTCCCAGTTTCTCAGGGAGGCCGCTTCCAAGATAGCGAGGCAGGGAAGTCTCTCACGCTCTGTCCTTCAGTGCCCTGTTGTCATCTTCCCAATTGGGTCTCAGGGTCATTTTGTCACACACATGCATCTTATATGTGCACAGAGAATGGAATGGCTGTCTTGATACCCTCCCTGCTTCCTCCAGGAGTGAGATGCTACCTCCTTCTCCCAGGTCTATGGGAGCAGATGCCAGGCAGCCCTCACTTCCTCGGCCCGCCTACCCCATGCAGCTTCTGCGTCTATCCTGACAGCCTCTAGTTCCTTGACCTTATCCCCACCCCCCTTCCACCAGCATCGTGACATGCTTCTGTAGCCCAGCTTTGTGTCTCAGCTAGCAGCTGGAACCCTGGCTATTGTGGGGCTTTAAACCCTTCTCAGGTCTGTGGCCTGTGGAGGATTGGCTGGGACTTACAGAAGGTCTCCTCTCCTCCTCTTTTCTCTCCTCCTCCCCCTTTCTCTCAGGGATGCAATTGCTACAGACCAAGGACCTGATGGCCAAAGGAGCAGGACCGAAAGGCAGCCAGAGCAGGGCCCGCTGGTGTCTGGCCTACACTCTGCTGCGCAACCCTAGCCTGCAGGCCTTCCGGAAGGCAGCCCTGACTAGTGCCAAAGCCAATGGCACCCAGCCCTGAGGGTGAGGAAAACCACACCACCCTGCTCTTATGTGCTGAGGCACATTCCTGTCTACCATCCTCCCTCCCATCCATACCAGCAACCCCCTCCCCCAGCAGTAGCCCTGCCAGCCAGCAGATCCCTGTGGGATCAGGGGACTGGAGTCACTGTGTCTACACTACCAGCCTCGAGAGGATTTTGGACTGTGCTCGTCCACCAGGCTAGGGCTCTAGAGAAAACAGCTGACGGGCTCTTTGTTTTGGAACTGGAAGAGCAGGGGTGGCCACATTTGGGCCTCTCTTCCCCAACCTGGCTCTGCCATCAGCTTGCCAGCCTCACTGAGGCCCCTCTCACTCCCTGTTCCGTGATGAAAGGCCTGAGTATCTCCCATCCCAGCTGGCCCCACCTCAGTCCCAGCCCTCCCACCACGAAGGTGGAGCCTGTGCGGCTTCCTCCCTGCCCCAGCTTTCTCTTTCCTCTTTCTCTCTACCACTACCCGCCCCTTCTTGTGCAGCCAAGGCAGACTCTAAGAGGCCTCGCCGAGCTGCCCACTCCAAGAAGCAGATATTTTTGTAGTTTTAATGCCGTTAGTTGTCATGAAAGAAGTTAGCGTGCTCCCAGTAATAAATGTGCCCCTGAGGAACGTTCCTCCTTACTGGGGAAGGGCTCTCAGGGGAACCGCCTACACTGTCCGTAAATCTAACATGAGCTCCATTTGGGAGAGTAGAGAGCACCGGAGGTATTCCGACAAAGCGTTGGGCTGGACACTGGGTGAGGGCAGAGAGAGACCCTGGTTTGGGGTGGTCTGACTGGGGACCCGACAATACCATTCCTGGGCAGTGAGTGTAAATGTTAGGCTTTAGGGTTTTAAAGAACGGCAGGATCTGGGGGGGAAAGGGTGTAAGAACGGTAGAGACTCTAGGGAATAAAGAAAGGAGTGGAGGCCAGCGGGACATAAAAGCTGAGGAGGCTAATGTTGCGGACTACGTGTGCAGGGGCCGGCGGAGGCGCAGACACGGTGGGGTCTGGGAGAAGACACGTGCATGCCTCAGAGGGCTGCTTGAGCTGTGGGTCACCGTGCTTCCTCACCCCGCTTGGATGAGGGAGCCTCAAAAGCATGCATCAAACACATACACAGCTCACCAGAGGCGCCTCCTGCCCCTTTAAACACATGATCTGGCCTGCCCAGAGGCCAAAAAAAAAGCGTGCTCTAAGTCCTCCTTAGCCCACTGCAAAATGCCTTCTATGTGGGGTATCAGAACCCATGCAGTCACAGGAGAACCACTCTGATTCTGCTTCAGCCCTTACCAAGGAGACAATCACAAGAGAATATAACCTGTCTAGGGTACTTAAGGCAGTGTGGGTCAAAGGAAGGGGCCTGGTTCACACTGAAGGTGAAAGAAGATCCAAGAAAACTTCCTGGAGGAGGTGATGTAGAAAACTGCATCAACCAAATGAAGACCAGGAAAAGGGTATATTGGGGGAAAGGTGGGCACAGGGGATGTAAAGATGAAGATGACATAGTTTCACAGGGGAAGGAAGAAGGTGCAGATAGGGGTGGACCACACGGGGGAGTCAGTCAGAGGGTCCATGGCTGACTGGGAAATTCCTGTTATATCCTAAGGACAGTGGGAGCCCCAAAAGGCAAAAGCAAAGGAGCAGCTAGATCACTCGGTACAGTAGTTACCGTGCTGTTCGGCCTCAAGTGGGAGTGTCAGGTGCTAGAACCCAGGGCTAGATGGATCTTCAGGATGCTCAGCCGGCTCAGTGGTGAGTGGAGTGGGATGCTGGGCTCCAAGTCAGAACTGTCAGGTCAATTGGACCTTTGAAAACGTCCTTGTCTTTGTGCTTTGGAGAGGCAGGCTCTCATGTAGCCCAGGCTGACCTCAGATTTGCTGTGTAGCACCTGGTCTTCCTGACTTTATTTCCTGAGTGCCCACCTCCTGACCGTTGAGATTACAGGCACCGCTGCTTCAGGCGCTCATGCACGCCATGAAAACTCAGCTACATTCCCAGCCTTTTGTCATTTGATCTCTGACACGCCTGAAGCCCAGAGAAGGGCAGTAACTTGCCCAAAGGAACACAGCATACGGAATCTGGCTCCATCCTGGTGCTTTCTCTCGGATGTTAGGACATTCTTGACCCTGGCTGGTTGATGCTGACAAGGACTCAACATGAGCTGCAAGTTGGATGAGGGAGAGAGGAGGCCCTACATGTGGACCCCGGTATGGGAGAGGGGCTGGCCGGCTGCCAAACTCGCAGCTGCTGTTCCAGACTCAACCTCCCATTTTCATTCTGCTGAGCTCAGCAGTCCCAGGGCTCGGGAAGAGGTCCAGGCCTCCCCCCAAAGGTCACCATCCCTGTGAGCACACATCCAGTCTTTAGAGGTGGGGGCCAGGGTGACACTTCTGACCAGCACAGGCCTGGAGTTCTGCGGTACCTCCACTGGCAGAACCATCTACAACCTCACCACTGTGGCTAGGCCCCAGCTCCCAGTCCTACCTTAGGCCAGAGCTTCTCCTCTGCTGGAACATCCCTTCTGAGCCCATTTCCTCTTTCTAGAGAGAAAGCCTGAGAGCAGTGTTTCTCCTTCTTCCAAGCTGTCTTCAGTTTCTTCCTTGTCCTCTGTCCCCTACTTCCCCATCCTTCCTTCAGTCTCCTTCTTTCCTCTTCCCCCATCTGTCTCCAACCATATTCTCCTCTATCCATAACTCTCTTCTTGGGGCTACAGCCCAGGCCTTCCCATCACCTAACCCTTTTCAAAAAAATGCAAAATGCACTGCTCAGGTTCCCATCTCACTGTTCCCATGGGCTAGTCTGAAGACAGAAAATGTGCAGCTTGACTCATGTTGGGGCTCAGTGGTGAGTCCTGGCTCCCCTCCCATGCTACCTGAAACACCGTGCGCCTATGTCTCCTGTTGGCACGACTCTCACATATGGCCATCCCATCCTCTGATAAAGACTCTTTGATCCCAACAGAATTCCAAGCAGACAAAAGGGAACATCAGAAATGTTGTTTATTTCTTCTGCTTATTTCTTATGTTTATTTCAGACTGGCTAGCTTCTCTGGAGGGACAGGCTACTGGTGCATACTTGGAAAGAAAGGAAGAGCAAGTGTCTCAAGAGACAGGCAGAAACTGTGGGGTTTGGGGTGAGAGGGGAGAGAGAGGCACAGCCAGGCACAATTTCCACATCTCAATAGAGAGCATTAGGAGGACAGGGAGAGCTTTTAGCTTTCCTAGCCCTTGCCTGTGGTACCTCTTTTCCAGATCCTATACTGGCCATTCCAGGTTCCCTTCCAGCCCAGCCCCAGTGCAACCTTGATGGCCTCCCCAAGCTCCTTATCTCAGTGCCTAGAACTCTCAAAGTGGCATCATTGTTGCCCTGTTAGCATGCTGCCCTGATAGGAGCATAGGCAATACTATTAGCAGCAATTAGCACCAGAGACAAAGAGTTCTGGGATACAGTTCTGTACCAGTTGCCCTCTGAGCAGATCAGCAAGTTGGAGCAATGAGTGGCCTGGAAGGGCTTAGAAAGGGAGGTAGGAAAATGTGAAGTCCCCAGGCCAACCTCAGGCCTCACCAATTCCAGACCTCATTAGTAGGAACATTGGCAGGAACATGGTCAGGAGGAGTTAGGAAGGCCCTGGGGCTGCTCGAGCCAGCCGGGGCAGGGTGTGGCTAGAAGCAGGCAAGGAAGAGAACAAGCAGGCTTTGGCCTAGCAACAGCATGCCTGAGAGCTGCTGCGCAGGCTTCCCCTCCGCGGCTATGGCAGCCTCTGGGGGCCCAGCACGGCTGAGATAGATGATAACCACATTGTCCTCGGGTCCGGATGGCTGTACCTCATTGTCAACCGTGTAGCAGCCCTTGCCCTCCACTGCTTTGCTGTGGAACTTGCGCCCCACTACATCCTCTCCTCCCTCACCTGGAGTGGCCAGTGCCACGTTCACAGAGCTCTCAGCACTGCCTAGTTCATTGGTGGCCAGGCAGCTATAAGTGCCCTCCTCCAGCTTGCCAAAGTCAGGGATAAGCAGGCTGCCGTTGGCAAAGGCTTGGAAGCGTGGCCGCCCACTGGCCGCAAGGGCACCAGGCAGGGCACGTCCATCAGTGCCTACATTAGGACTGGTGATCTCCACGGTGCCGCCGGGGGTGTGAATATGCCAGTGAAGCTGGGGGACTGGCTGTCCATCCACGTCGCAGTGAAGAGCCAGCACGAAGCCAGGCCGCAGCTCTGCTCCGTCCTGGCTGGGCTGGTAGCTTAGCTGCACTGAGGGTGCTGAGCAGGGCAGGGGTGGCAGGCGGCTCAGTGGGGTACCCTTTAGCACATGGGGCGAAGTACAGGCGATGTTGTCCTGCTCTGGAATAGAAACTGCTGTGGCCAGGGCCCAGGTCTTGAACCACACAATGCCGCAGGTGCAGTCAAAAGGGTTGTCATTGATCTGCAAGTGGGACAGTGCGGTGAGTGGTGCAAAGGTGCCCTCGGCCAGAGCGTGCAGGCGGTTGTGATTGAGCTGCAGAGAGCGCAGGGCATGGAGGCTGCGGAAGGCGTCTCGGGGGATGAAAGACAACTCGTTGCTGTCCATCTTGAGCAACTGCAAAGCACTGAGATTATGCAGGTCACTCCAGGCAAACTCAGAGATGAGGTTGTGACTGAGGTCCAGACTCTTGAGATGACCCAGAGGGGCCAGAGCACCAACAGCCACCGAGCGGATCTCGTTGTGTGCCAGCCACAGCGACTGCAGAAGGGGCACCTCCCTGAAGGCTCCCTCCGGCAGGCCTGGCAGCCTGTTGGCTGACAGGCTCAGTGTGGTCACGTTGGCCGGGAAGCCCGGTGGCACACCCTCAAGGTCACGGTAGGCACAGTCTGCAATCTGGAAGCCATACTTCTCCCCACAGTCACAAGGGTCTGGACAAGCTTGCACCAGGTTCAGGAGAACAGCCCAGCAAAGCAGGCACAGTGCCCGCATGGTACCTCCTATGGGGAAGGGCATGCCATCCAGGTGAGCACAAGGATTCACAAAAAGAGCTTGTCCCTCCTCGGACCCCAACCAAACTCTCCCCACTAGAAGGCCCTCTTCCACATAATCCAGCCAGAATCCAACACCACCTAACCCACAACCCCCACCCCACAGGAGAGAAAACTGAGGCCCAGAGGAGGGCTGGGACTTGCCAAGGTCTTGCAGGCAGGCAGGGTAAAGGCAGGATGGGAGTCGATCCCAGCTTCTCCTTTGCACAGAGCTCTTTCTGCCTCGGCCTGTTCCTAGCTGACTTTATGACTTGAAATCTGTTTTCCAGCCACCCCACTCCCCGAGCACTTCACAGAACCTCCCTTCTGCCCTCCCACATCCTGGTTACAGCCCCTTCCACTGGAGCCCCCATAGGTATGTTTTGCTGCCCTGGTCCAGACAAGGCCCCTTTTGCGATGCACACCCCCCCCCCTCCACCTCTCCCACTCTGTGGCCTGTTCTGTTCAAACTACCCCAGGCAGCTGCCTAAATAAACCAGCTAGGACCTCTCAACTAAGGCAGGGGGCCCGGAGGCTCAGCCCAAGTGCAGCTGGGAGCTCTGGGGTTGAGACGGTCCAGGCAGATGATCTTTGGATGGCTCTGTGTAAGAGCCTGTTCCAAGTCCCTCAAGCCCACAGGGATGTGCTAAGGACAAAGGAGCCCCAACTCCCTCACCCCCAGCTGTGGGGGCTCCTTCTTTCCTGACTTACCTCCAAACTGTTCTTCTGAAGTCAAGCTGAGCCTCTTTTAAGATGGAACCAGAGCACCAAAGGACTGGATTGCTTGCAAGTCCACAGGACCAGGATTGCTGGGGCAGGACCTGGATGCTGGAAGAAGGGGCTGGCTGTTTTGCACACCCTGCTGAACACCGTGTCTGGGACAGCTCTGAGCAGGGGCTGCAGGGAAGGTCTGTTCAGCCTAGACGCCTTTCAACAAAACAAAAATGAGTTTTAGCAACAGGGACCCTGCCTCACAAATGACACTAGACACTGGAGGGGAAAAGAGGCCAGATTTGGGGTTGTTCATCTGTGTTTTTCTCTCTCCTCTCTGTCTCTCTCTCTCTCTCTCTCTCTCTCTCTCTCTCTCTGTCTGTCTCAAGCTCCAACTTTCTTAAAGTCACAGCACTATCTGGGCAGGACCCAAGAAAAGATGAGGCCAGAAAGGAATTTTTTTTTTTTTAAATGGGGGAAGGGTGAGAAACTGGATCTCATGGAAAGTGGGAAATTTCAAACCTTGCTTCCAACACGGAAAAAAGAAGCACCCCTTTCCTCCCTGGCTGGCTGTGCTGGTGTTTGTGTGCCGAGTGTGTGCTGGTGGGGGTAGAGTAAATGTTACTGTGCGTGGATGAGTCTGTATGTTAGGGACATACAATAACAGACACCGTTCATGAGAGTCTGAGACTGTCTGAGGATACTTGTGTGTGTGTTTGTGTGATGGTGTGTTTGTGTATGGATGTGAATTAGTCTCCTTGTGAGTGTAAATTCCTGTGAGTCTCTCTTGGTGTGTGTGTGTGTGCTGGGGTGTCTCTACAAAAAACTGTAAGAGTCAAAGTGTAGGAAACAGCTACTGGCCTCCAGCCCCTGGGTAAGAAGCCAAAATGTTAGGCCTGTTTTTTGATTTTTTTTTTTTTTAAGTAAATATATCCTGCAAGCTGAGGCTGTTGGGCAGGGAGTTCCCAAGCCCCAGCCCAGCCCCACACTGGGTGTGTGTGCAGGCAGGATGACAGAGATGACAGCATGCTCGACAGAGAGCAGAAATCAGCTTTGGCAGAGGTGTCACTGGCTGGAGATTCTGAACACTCTGGCTTGCAGACAAAGAGGTTCCATGGTCCAGGACCCAATACTCAGAGCAGTGTTGAGGGGCCTCGCTTCAAGAATTGTCTGTGTGGCTCAGTCCCCATGGTGCTCAAGTCTTTCACAGAGACTTCTGAAAGCCACCATGCCATGTGGTGTGAAAGGGGCAGGAGGTAAGACCTTTCTCTCCGAGCAGAAGTTCTAGGTTATATCCATAGATGGTCCTTGGTTGAGTGTCAGTCTCAGAAAAGACCCTGTGCCCAGATATAGTTGGTCCTTGTGGAGCTCCTATCCTTTCCATATCATACTAACTTCCCTTCTTCGGGATACAGCTGGGACACAGAGTTAACAAAATGTAACTAAAAAGAAAAATAAAATAAAATAAAAAAAAAAAAAAAGAAAAAGAAGACGTTAAAAAAAAAAAAAAAAAAAAAAAAAAAGACCTTTCTCTCCAAACAGGAAGGACTGTGGGTAGGAATGGAGTGAGGAAGAGGCCCAAACCAAAGGAGCTGGAGGAGACCTGAAAGACAGGGAGTCAGGAAAAAAAAAACAAAACAAAACAACAACAACAAAAAAACATAACTTCCTAGCATTGACCACTCTGCCCTCACAGAATATATCTATCCTCCTCCTAATAGCTCACCCGTGCTTCCTCTTCTTGTGTGTTAACCTGATAGATTCTGCTTACCCTCTCAGCAAGGCCAGGGAAGTGGGTACTGTGGTTGACTGAAAGTATACAAGGAGCCCACCCCAGTTTCTCACAACCCCTGCCTGTCACGAAGCTATGGAAGACCCCAGAGTGCTGGCCGCAGACACCGAGCCTGAAGCTAGGGAAGTTCTCACAGACTCCTTTAGATGTGCCAGCCCTGCCCTGCCCTGCCCCCAGGAAGCCTTCTCTTGCTCCTTGCTAATTGTGGGGAGAGTTTGGGGCAATTGGGTGGGATGAGCAGAGGGCTGAGGCCTACATATAGAGATTGAACAAAGCAGGCAGAATCTGACCACACTGTCTGTCAGGGGCAACTTACTGGTGACTAGGGCCTTACTGGGTTTCTCAGAACACAGCTGCACACACTCACCACACAAGGCCCCTGCTACCCGCCCCACCTGCAGGGCCTGCCAAGGAGCCCGCAGTCCCTACCCTACCCTCTCTACCCCTCAACCCCTTTTGTTGTGGCTGCTTCCTTCTGGCATAGAGGATAGAAATCAAGTAGTTCACTTTATTCTCAGCACTCGGGAGGCAGAGGCAGGCGGTTCTCTGTGAGTTCAAGGTCGGCCTTGTCTACATAGTTCCAGGACAGCCAGGGCTGTGTAGAGGGAGATTTTGTCTCAAAAAAATTAAAGAAAAGAAGAGAGAGAGAGAGGAAAAGAAAAAGAGACTACTTCACTGTGCAGCCTTCTGAAGTCCGTAAGTATGTGACTGTCTTCCTCACTAATTGTCCTAATTGACCCCCACCCCTTAGGTGCCCACCTTCCTTTCCCCACTCTTGCTATGATCTGCAGTCATTTGTTCTTCCATGGGTAGATACTTTGCAGGCTGCTGTTGAAACTGGTACCCAGAAGCCCTTGGATGAACAAATGAGTTATTGGATTATCAGATGCCACACACACACACACACACACACACACACGTGTTTTACGGTTCATCTGTTCTCTTCCTGTGGCACAAATGGGGTCTCTAGGCCAGATGGGAGGGATATGCCCAAGGAAAGTTCCTTACAATGAAGATGTTTCAGAGAAGGTTGTGTACAATGCAAGGGACTCGCACTTCCCATGGATGGGACCACCACTAGCTGTCCCAGGAATAGCCTCCTCAGCCCCACCAGCAAAGCTCTTGATGGTAGCCAAACCCCATCCCCAGAGCCTGAGGGCAGGAAAAACAAGTGGGGATGGCCCACCCAAGCAAAAGAGATTGTATGTGCAGTCACTGGTAATTCTCTGTGTTAGCCGAGGTAAAACTGAGGCAGACAGCGCAGACGGGTGCCTCCTCTGCCACCAGGAAGACAAGGAAACAAGGGTTGTGATCACAGTAGGCACCATGTGACCTTCCTTGCATTTTTACTATAGGGCAAGCAGGCTAAACCCCCCCCCCCTCAGGGCACTAGGAGCAGTTCATAGCTGTTCCAGGATGCAAGCTGTTCAAGCAACTGTTTCCTGTTCCTCTGATGATCCCAGATGAAGCTCCTTCTGCAAAGCCCACTCCAGAGGATGCAATGCAGCAGGCCAGAAGGACTAGGAGCAGATCTCCTATTCTCCTCCCAATCTGTTGCTAGCTCGCTACCCACCACTGGTACCACCCTTGCTCAGATCAGAGTGGGCTTCGGGAGAATATGAGAGACCTTGACTGTCACCCAGAGGCCCAAGGCTGGAGAGCCTTTCTCAGATCCTCAAGGCCTGTGTGCGGTCTTAGTCTTCAGTAGCCCTCAAAGGAGGAACCCTGAGGAAAGGAGAGAGGAACCCCCCCTTCTGCCAACCCTGGTCCCAGCTCCCAGAGTTCTCTGACAGCTTGCAGAGTGGTCAGCCAACTGGCCTGCATTGCCTGCTGGCCCTTCTAAGATGAAAGACCCCCACTGCTGCATCTAAACTGGCTCAGTAGATGATGACAGTTGGCCTCCCTCGGAGGGGCTGGCGCTCACTTCTCTCCATAGCTTTTCCTTGCTCATTCTGCAAACTCAGCCTTCTCTCCTCCCTCTCTCTCCCCCCTTCCTCCTGTCCTGCCACCTCCAACTAAGGCAGCCAGTCCCACACCAGCTGCGGCTGCTCAGCCGGAAACCCCCACCCCAAGGAGGCCTGTAGGGGCCTCTGCACCACGCCAGGCCACGTCAGCTTTTCCTGGAAGGCGGAAAAACGATCCCAAAGAGAACATGGAGGTGTGTGTATGTGTGTGTGGGGGGATGGGGGTGTCAGAGCCAGCAGGGAGAGAATGCTGGAGAGAAACAGAAACAGGAATGGAGCTGTCTTGGAGAGAGAGAAGGGTTAACAGAAAGTCATGGCCAGTGGATTAGAGGGACCATAGGGTGAGGCATGGGATATGTGTGTGAGGGTGGGGGTGGGGGTGGGGGTGGCAGCCACGCAGAGGTGGAGAGAGGAAGCCAGAAGGAGGCAGGCCAGGAGAGAGATGAAGAAGAGGCTCGAGTCTGAAATAGAAACAGTGAACACTGAACTGCCCCAGCAAAGGGCAGTCATGGTGTCTGACCCACACCAAATGTCCTCCACATGGCTTGGAGGAATCCGTGGGAGGAGGCTAGCTCATGCTCCCTGGGATTTTTTTCACCAATTGGTCTCCTGGGGGGAAAAGATGGGGTATGGACAGAACCCTGGGCTCTTTCAGTTGGCATGCATGTGAAAGGCGAGCCTTTGTCCGCTTGCTCCTGAGTACATTGTGTGAGTGCATGCTAGAGCCAGCATGAGCTCATGGGGTGCGCACTCCAGACTGCAGATGGGGAAGTAGGGCACGCTTGGTGTTCTCTGCTGCCTTTGCCGCTTCCGGAGACTCCCATGGCCCCCATGGGCTCTTCTAGCCAAGCCTGACTGCATGAGGCAGCCTTGTCCACACACTTCCCTCACAGCTCGAGTTCTTGGTTTCAGGGTCCCTGCCCTCGGAAACCGTGGGCCTTCGGTTGTTCAGCCCCCAGCCACTGCTGTAGCCTCACCAGCACCCTCAGTCATTTCACACTTCAGTTACAGACCTTGTCTTTTGAGGTTGGTTCAACTGCAAGCTCCCAGAAAGGCCCCTCCAGACCCCCTTACACACACAGCCTTTTGTCACTGTGGTTCGTCTGTCCTTCCCAATCTTTCCCTACTAACCTTTTCCATGTGTTTCTTTCTATCTCCCCAGTCTAAGGGTGAGCCCTGCATGGATGGGGCTTGGCACGGGCTCATCATTTAGAAGATGGTCCGTGACAGATTAAGAATTCCCTCCAGTCTCTAGTGGAAAGCCTTTCTCCAGACCTCTTCTGCCACTGGGAGCCCCTCAGCCTAACTCTTTTGTCCCACAGCCTTCCTTGTCCCTGTCTGCTCCTGGTCCTATCCTCACTTGCCTCTAACCTTCTCTGCAGTCCTCAGGGATGTTCTGAGCAGTCCAGCACACAGGAACACACTTAAAAGAATCTTTGTGTTCCTCCCTCCTGTGCTGGCTGGATTTATGTCAACTTGACACAAGCTAGAAGGAACCTCAGTTGAGAAAATGCCCCCACCAGTTTGGCCTTTGGGTAACCAGGTGAGGGCATTTTCTTGGTTGA